ATAACAATATATAGTATGAAAATCTGATACGTGACATAATTCTACGAGCTCTGTTAGAAACAAAATTCAAATATCAAAGCGCTAATACAAATTGCAGCAACACTTTTTTGAAGATAAAACAAAATTATATTTTGGCTCGCCGGCAGATTTGCAAACGTAAGCGTGCGTGAGAAGAGATAAAAGAAAACAAAACCGAATAAAACAGTGGCATTGGCACAAAATGGCAAAATAGCGGTGTCTAAAATAAAACTATTTACTATATGCGGCTATATATATATATGTATGTATATTTGGCACTTTAACGAGACATTTGCCAGCTATCTGGTGGGCAGGAAAGTGAAAGCGGGTAGCTAGACAACAGATGTCCTAAGTTGGCAAGTGCTGAGCGCATTCTGCAGACGAGACTTATGCAACACACGAGTGCCGTTGCAATCGATCGAAACTATTTAAATAAACTCACCCGTTTCCGTTCATTTTGTGATTGCTCGAGGAATTTGCTGGAGTGGCGATGGTGCGACAAGCACTGTGAGTTCCAGATGTCGCGATATAGTTTGAGATTCTCGCAAAGTTGCGGGCGGCTAGCACAGATTTTAATTTAGCTAAAATGGTTTGTTTATTTCTGCCACTTGTTTATCACTTCAATATGCGTTGTTTGCATTTATCACTCAGTTCGATCACTGCCGTTCTTTATGTTGTTATCAACGTTTGTTCTTTTGCCTTTGAGCAGCGCCACGAGACTAACCACGGCCGTGCAGCCTACGGCTATTAAATAGTTTTCGCTCAGCGAATTTCACGCTTTTCCGCGCTCTGGATCTCACGTCTGAAACTTGGGTAACAACCACACAAAGAGCGACCGGATTGAATTTATCGTCGAGATATACATGCACTGGGAGGCTAACGGGGTAAGCAAACAGAAATGTAACGGCAAACTCGACTCATCGAACAAAATTTTGAAAAATGTACAATTTACTTTGAGAGTTGAGGCTCTCTTAAAAAACTTGCGATATTTCGTTTTAATAATGGCGAATAAACCCTGAATCATAAATGTAAGTCTGAAAAGCAAATTAAATATTCCTTGATAATATTATCCATACTCAGTTGATTTCATTCATACACGAAGTTAATGTTAAATTATGGTTCAAGGCGAATATTTTATGACAGAAGTACAATATCAAATCTTGTCTTTAGAATGTATCAGTCTTTTTCAGTGTAGACAGCTGTTGGCGAACGTGCTCGAGAGAAAAAGTTCGAGAGCGACCCGCGCGCTCTTTGCTTTTGCGGTCTCTCTTGCTATGATAAAAGTCCCCTCACGCAAACATCAGTACTGTATTTCTGGGAGAGGGAATTTTGCCAGATCGTTTTTACTGTGACGTGCGTCAACCGGTACCTCTACTCTTCACTCTCTCGCTCTCTGCACACGCACACTTCCTCATTTTGCGAACTTTGTCCACACTTTCCCCCCTCCCACTTACTCGCACCTCTCTCTTTTTCACCTGATGCAATTTGCAACTGCACTGCAAAAGTGACGTGTTGACAGCAAAAAGCACGACAGAGCAAAACAAAATGTTTAGGAACCTAACATAGATTCGTTTAATGGATATGTTTGTCGCATATTTAGTCGTTCCCAAGGTGCCCTTGCCAATTATCGGATATCTTACTTTCTGCCTCCCTTTTAATGTGTTTTCGCCAGACAAACCGGTTCCGAAAATTATGCCAGTCTACAGACTCTACCTTTAGAGATTGCCAAGTTTCGTCTAAACAACAGCACGTTTTCGTCTCGAAATACCAACGACCTTCGGCTGTGACCTTTGGGCAACCACTCGAGCACACATAACCACATATTCATATGTACATCTGCTTGCATACACAGGCAGAAGAGAGATAAAAGATAAGCATTACTTATTGGAACAACAGGCCAACAACTCCATTATCGGGCGGGAGTTGTGTTATTCACAAGTTAAATATAAATATCAAAGGCTCCCGAAGTCAAATCAATCGGAAATAAGTGGCCAATCACGATCGTATTTTTCCCTTTAGCTGTTTTTTTAGATTGAGAGAGCAAAGTCAAACGGGTTTTTTTAACATTTCACAGACATGTTATCGAAAAATACAGACTAGTGCTTGAGCAGGGGCTCATAAGTATGGGGGCTCGTCAGGCACAAACACACATACAAAATCATTTCCGTTTATTTTTATGTTTCAGCTGATTTTGTTGTGGGCCCGTTGAACGATTTCATAAGAATTATTCATCATTTACGTGGTCACACAGGGCGTATACGCGATAAGTTGGTCTGACGTTATCGTTGCTCGCATTTTCACTTTTCCTTTCGCCAACTGACAGATCTCATCTGCATACTAGTTAACCCTATCTTATCAGTGAATTGGATGTGCTTTTTAAAACTATAGACTCCTTTAAGTTGCTCTTTGAATTAACATTTATTCTCAAGAACCCCTAAGCTGTGACCTTTTTTTATTATCAAAAACTGTAAATCAGTAATTTCCTTATAGGGTTAATGCCAAGTTGATTGCCCTAGCCCACTTAAAGCTCAATTGGCTGTTGACACTTTCGAGAAAATCCAGCGGTCAGAGGCTGGTACTGAGACCCAATTGGATCCAATTGAGTAAACTCATCCAGATTTACACTTGCCTTTGGAAATGTCGCCAAAGTGGGCAGCGGAAATGTTAATTGAATCGAGTTAATTTATTTCACGAATGAAAATATCTTTTAATTGAATGGCAAGCACGCTGATGGCCCGGCATTCCAGAGGTCACTAATGTTACGCAAACTGAACAATAAAACTAAATGGGAAAGTGTAAACATAGTTAACCTGTTTTGCCATCTTATCTGCGCAGTATACATTTCGGGGGCTCGTCAACGAGAGAAGTGCATACTGGTTAAAAACTAACTGAAAGATTAGATATAGATGATGAAATACTTAATGGATTTGCCATTTACTCACTAGATATCGTAAATATTCACGTTTTCACTCACAAATTTACACTTGCAATTAGATTTAACTGAAAAAAAGGCATGAAAGCCGCTTTTGACATCCACATAATACTCATACTTAATAATTTAAGTAACTTAATAGCACTTATGGGGATAGCCTTAACTAAAGAACTTAAGTTTTTCTAATTTTTGGCAGCCATTGTTTTCTATTTTTAAGTGCAATGCATCAAAGCTACTGAAACTCAAAGCCCTTTTAGAATATGATCTATTGACACCATCATTAACAATTAAAAGAAACCTTCTGTTTGCAGTATTTTGTTTGTTTACTCGTCTGCCGCTGTTTAAAGTATGTTTGGTTGTGTGTTCAGGTGTCTCCGATATAAATAACGCAAGTTGCAAGGCGTGAGCAATTGATCTACTCTTATCACAAGACAATTTGGCACGGCCAGCAGTTTCTGGGAACACAAATAACCATTTGTTTATTTTACACAATTTCTTTTCGTCTGGGAGTTGTGCGCATGCACGTTTCGCAATAACAAAAAAGTACGACCAACCGGCGAGACGAAAAAAAGCCGACTGACATTGAAAACTCAAGAAACCAAGAACCAAGCAGTTGTGACGTAAGGTAAGATAATTCATGCACCCTCGTCACAGGAGGTACATATAAAACACTAGCTTATGGTCCATAGTATTCATTTCATTTTTAAAAGAAGTATTTATTACTCATGGCTCTACTTGATCAGGTCGTAAACGTAAAGGAATATAAAATGGTCTATATGTATGTAATTTCTTTCACATTATTGTAAACACTGAAAGCTTTTTACTTTTTTGAATAGGTGGGTGAAACTTTTATTATCTTATTTTTTTCCGATCTCAAGGGTAGTCGTTTTGCCATCGCGTAGGGGCGAGATGATTTGTGGAGCTCTTAAGACTCAATCATTTAGCTCCCTAAAAGTATGCAACAAAAACGCAATGGAAACATGTCAAAGAACTACTTTTAATAGCGCAATAAATATATAATGACCGCATTGGCAACATATTTATTGTTGTCAATAGCATTATATAATGCTGATATCAGCATCTACCATTTTAGACCCTATCGATGAAATCATTTTCAGCAGCCTTTGATGCCCTGGTTTGGTTAGCCATGTGACAACACAAAATAAAACCGGCACATGACGCCAAAATAAGTGACGACAACAAAGGCAAAGCATAGTAAAAGGAGAAAACTACGGAATAACGAACAAAATGTACACTTCTAAATTATTAAAATCTCTGCCAAGAATTTGATTTGTCTTTTTATTAGACAATCAAAGTTTTGGCTGATTTGATGAAATTGAAATACAAATTTTTATAAACTGTAATAAGTTTATTTTACACTATATTCTCCATAGTTAATAAAATTACTTCTGAAAACTTTATTATAATTAAACAAAAAAACGTTCATCTTTATTTAAAATCATTTTACATAACTCATTCTTGCTCATATGCAAATTATTTAATTTAGCACACGTATTTAAACATTTTATTGGCAAGCCATATACTAAATTATCATGCCCATAGTAAGAGAGTTTCAACATTGAAAAGCTTCCTGCCGGTTTTCATGACATCAGCAGCAGCTTTTGCCAACCTGAGTCATAGATGTGCTGAGCAAAACTAGGTACGAAAACTACTATAGTTTCACCGAATATTGTATGCTCTACCAATGATCTTGGACTGTGATATATTACTCAACGAAAAAGATATTGTAAATATATATATCGAATGAGTAACTACAAAAATTTAAAGTAGATAAAATAATATTTAAGAAATATTTTACGAGCAGAAAGGCAATGCATAAAAATCAACCACACTTTCAGAAATTTTGTTGGTGAAAACATTTATTAAAATACATATCATTTCAAAATATTTATTTTTTGATAAGGCTCAGCTTTAAACAGTAAAACTCTTTACAAATAAGTTTCAAATTTAAGCTGGTACAGTCGACTACTTTCTAGATTGATGTCGATCTCCCACTTTGTAAGAGAGCCCCAAAGCTTGTGGAGCTTTCGCACTCACAGTGCCTCCGTTTTTTAGCAGTGCTTACTTCGCCGGTATTTGGGCTTCATTGCGGCAGTTTGAATCAGAATCTCAGTAAGCGAACATCGTCAAGTGGAAGCAGCAATCATGCCAATTGGTGAGTTTCCAAGTTCCCAAGTGGGTGGAGTGGCCAGAGCGGTTGGATAATGGAATAGATAATTGGGTGAATTCAAACATAGGGAGAGGCGGACGCAACTTTTGGCCCACGACCAAAATTGAATTGTGTCAACAAATTCCTAGAATCGAAACATCAGAAGTAAATAAAATATACAATATTTTATCTACGTTGGGTTTTTAGTAAAGAAAATATATGCAGAAGCAGAGAGTGTGTTTGGGACAACTTTCACCTTGTGATCGTCTAGATTCAATTAACGGGAATATGTTATACATATTGTTCAGCCTTTTTGGTGTTCTTTATTATGACCTATTAAATTGATTTTCGATGCGGTCATCTATATAACCAAAGTGCCAAAAAATGTGTACCAGCTGCTGTGAGTCACTTATCTAGGCCCCGAACTCTGGCAATAATCAATAAGAATTCAGCAAGGGTGACCCGAGGGTCAGACGAGAGATGCACCTCTAATGATGTCATGCAAAATAATGTTGCTTGGGAAAGAATTCGTACAATCTGTCGAAAACAAAAAGCACAACCTCACATACATATATCTAGGCAAATGTTTGTCGCTCGAGACCCCGTAAAGCCGGCTCAGAACTCGAAATTGAGCTTGAGTGGAATGAGCTAGAATATTTAGTAGCGAAGAACCGATGGCGATCTAAATGACATCATGCGAACGGCGCTAATAAACAAGCGAAAACAAAAACAGACGCTAAACATTCAGATATGTATCTACAAACATATAAATAGCTACGAATTCTTTCCAGTTCACGTAGTTTTTATGACAACATTTTCCCTCCGATTCGTTGGAGATGTTTGTGGTTGTTAATTCAAACCCCAAAACTTTCCCATTACGAGAGAACTTGGTACAGTTGCCACCAAAATCGTAACACTTTCCTCCTATTTCTTAGACTAATCTTCTTTCCACCATCTTCTTTGCAGAAATCAACACCCCCGATAAGTTGGAGTACCAATTCTTCCCGGCCAACGGAGGAGTTTTCACCTTCAAGGTGCGTTCTCCCAAGGACGCCCATTTGGCCCTCACACCCGCCCCCGAGGAAAATGGCCCAATCTACGAGATCTTCCTGGGAGGATGGGAGAACACCAAGTCGGTGATCCGCAAGGACCGTCAGAAGCCTGAGGTGGCTGAGGTCCCCACTCCCGGCATCCTGGACGCCGGAGAGTTCCGTGGCTTCTGGGTGCGCTGGTATGACAACGTCATTACCGTTGGCCGTGAGGGAGACGCCGCTGCCTTCCTTTCCTACGATGCTGGAAGCCTCTTCCCAGTCAACTTCGTCGGCATCTGCACGGGATGGGGTGCCAGCGGATCCTGGCTTTTGGACGGTAAGTTTCCACCTCGTTTAAGGTCAGAACAATAGCACAGGTGTTTACCCTCTCTGATTAGTTTACCCAACGTAAGTGTTTGCCTAATGTATTGTCCTACAGGCAGTCAATGAGACCCATTGTCTTGGTACTAAAGTCAGCTGCACTAACATAAAGTTATTATTTTTTTACTTTCGCCAATTGGATTTATCATTGAATTTATTTGGTTAAAATTTGAAGGTAAAAAGATATTTTTCTTATGGGGTGGGTGTCCCCAAAAAAACTTGTGCTATTAGTTTAATCCAATTATATTAATATAAATAACGTTATTTAATCCCATCATTTCTCTGCAGATTCTGCTCCTTCGGCGCCCGCCATTGGCTTCTCCGCACCCACTGGAAGCGGACCAGGATGCTGGGTGGCCGCCGCCAATGGCGAGGTACCCCCCAACGCCCTGCAGGGAGGATTCGACAGCAGCGAGCAGCTGTACATCGCCCGTGCCCGTCACGAGGGTGACCTTATTCCCGGCAAACTGCATCCCTCCCATGGTGTTACCTATGTGGCTTGGGGAGGTGGCGAACACGGACACGGCGAATACGAGGTGCTGTGCGCCGCTGGCGGCCAATGGGTGCCCGTTGAGGACGGAAACATCCCGCCAAACGCTGTGCCCGCCGGCGAGACAGCCGAGGGCGAGCCACTTTTCATTGGCCGTGCCACCCACGAAGGAACCATCACTGTGGGCAAGGTGCAGCCCTCTCACGGATGCTGCTACATTCCCTACGGCGGTGAGGAGCTGGCCTACAAGGAGTTCGAGATATACGTGGCCAACTAAACCACGGATCGACTGTCCACACTAAATCGCACTGAACCACAATTGTTAATCTGAGCGCTTTACAGTTCAACTGGTCGCAGAAATTTTATTTATATTTGCATTTCTACTCAATACTGTTGATGAATCTCTATTCGATGCCGAAAAGGTTATTACTTTGTTCACCCAAATTGGTTAATAAACAATAAATATATTTAAGAAAGTAACATATCCCATATTAATTATAATGTCCATTAAAGGGTGGATGATTTCACTTATCGAAGTTTCGATAAGTTTCGAAATAAAAGAGCTTAACGAAATTAGGTTGCGGTTACTGCTGTTTTATTATGCGGAGTAGTAGTGTGTTTTTCGGATTGATAATTCTTGTTTATGTTATATTGTATGGTCCACGAAAGGCTATTAATACTAATTCATTATTAATCAAAATTCATTTATATTTAAGGTTTAAGACTTTTAAATTGGCTTCTATATAAAGACAAATAATGTTAGTGAGCTTAAACGTTGCATATTCTCGTATGTAGTGTAGTATTTAATTAGGAAATCCTAGCAAAGGCAGCATAAACAATAACCTACGCATCCTTAAAAACATGTAATTCGAAAACAAACATTTAAAAGTTCTGAAAAAAGGGTCCCTTAATCAAACTCTCACCCATTTAGTAATAGTGGAAATTATCATTAAACATTCTTATTTCATGAAATCATTCGTGGCACAATCTTGGGAAAAGTAGAATGATTGGAATCTAGTTAATATGGGCAGCCCATTCAAAATAATTTACTTCTACTCAATGAAAATCTCTTTTCCGTAATCTCGTTATCAGTAAACTATAAGTCGTCCATAAAATCTAATAATAAAAAAAAAAGAAATAATTTCAAAGAATTTTCGACACAAAGAATTTACAAAAAAAGATGATATTTTGTTTTATTTGATTTTTTGTTTTATTACTTAGTACTTAGTTTGCCGTATAAATAATTAATTCTATTCATTTATTTCTATTGATTTATTTGCAGTCAAAAGAACTTTATCACGATCTTCATCTAAGGTGAACTCTATTTATTTTTATTTGTAAGAAGTATTAATTTATTACGCCATGATAAGAGTTTAATTATATTCACTTTCGAATAACTCATCAGGTCATTTCATCTAATCGCCCGATTGTTCAATCCTCGATTTGAATATGGGCTAGATTGCAAGGGTATAACATAGTCATCCCAGTCTGGGTGAAGTATTTATGGCGGGGATTAAAAACCAATAAAGTATTTCTGACTATTTGAACACCTGTGTTAGGCTGACAAACAGAAAGGTATACAAAAAAAATAGAGCAGAAACCTACTTTATAGTAAATTAGATCAACTAGTCTAAAATGCTATTAAAGAAAGAGTAACATAATGGTTGTATCAGTACCACTAGGTCTTTAAAGAAATCAAGTATACCCTTGCTCTTCATGACTGCAGAATATAACAAACCAAAGTGAATTTTAAGCGTTGAAGCACCACTTGAGTGAATTTATAACTTAAGGGATAGTAAACAAAAATGAATCTGAACTTTAGATACAGATACGAGTCCCAGGTATAAATATTAAAATTAGCACGCGACGAAGCCTTAATAAATTTGCGAGACAAGTGGAGTGGCCGGCCCATGTGATAAGAGATTGATAAGGCCCGGTAGGAATAGTATAAAAACGTATGAGGAACAAGAATCAAGTATCATTTCTAGCAATGGGAAAGTTATTGACACTACTCGCAGTCCTCTGCCTTTAGCCAATTGATCGGTGCTGAACGTAAGTATTTGGCTATAAAGAAGAGATTCCTATCTTTATTCCTGGACATCATAAGGCATCGTCAACTGCTACTGGGGAACCTGGGCCAACTACCGCACTGGCAATGGCAAGTTCGATGTTTCCAACATCGATGCTGGTCTGTGCACCCACTTGAGCTACTCATTCTTTGGAATCAATGACAACGGCGAGATTCAGTCCCTGGACACCTGGTTGGACTACGATCTGGGCTTCATCAGCCAGGCTGTTGGCCTGAAGAGCAAGAACTCCAACCTGAAGGTTCTGGCTGTTGTTGGTGGCTGGAACGAGGGCTCCACCAAGTACTCCTCCATGTCGGGTGATTGGTACAAGCGCCAAAACTTCATCAACTCCGCTCTGAACCTGCTGCGCAACCACGGATTCGATGGCTTGGACTTGGATTGGGAGTACCCTAACCAGCGTGGAGGCAACTGGAACGATCGTGCCAACTTTGTGACTCTGCTGCGTGAGCTTAAGGAAGCGTAAGTACAAGATCTTTACCTTTAAGTCCAGGATTTACATGTTTTCTTCAAACAGTTTCGCTCCCTATGGCTATGAACTGAGCATCGCCGTTGGTGCCGGTGAGGCCCTGGCCAGCAGCTCCTACGAGATCGCCAACATTGCCCAACAGGTTAACTTCATTAATGTGATGACCTACGACTTTGCCATGGCCTCCGACGGTCAGACCGGCTTCAACGCTCCCCAGTGGGCCGTGGAGAACGCCATCAACTTCTGGTTGAGCCAAGGTGCCCCAGCCAACAAGCTGGTCCTAGGCGTCGGCACTTACGGACGCTCCTTCCAGCTGTCGGACTCCTCTAAGAACTGGCCCGGAGCACCGTGCCGCGGCGAGGGTTCTGCTGGATCCTACACTGGTTCTACTGGCTACTTGGGCTACAACGAGATCTGCCAGAACAACTGGAACACCGTCTTCGACTACGACAATGCCGCTCCCTACGCCTACTCCGGTGACCAGTGGGTGAGCTACGACAATGTGCTCAGTGTCCAGTACAAGATGGACTTCGCCCTGCGCAAGAACCTGGCTGGTGCCATGATCTGGTCCTTGGAGACCGACGACTACCGCGGCCTGTGTGGCGAGAGCTACCCTCTGCTGCGTGCCATCAACATGAAGCTGCGTTGGGATATTTAAAGTGGTATTCCGATTGGAGATAATAAACAAATGATTAAAAATTGAAAAAAAAAGTCTATGACTATGAGTCATTTGGAAACTTTTACGATTATGGGTATTTGGAAAAAAAGGATGATATACTCTTAAAAACTCTTACTCTTCTTACAATCTGAAAAATATTAGTCTAAATTAGTGGTCTATATATAATTGCTTTAATAATAAGGTTATAGAAATATCCATATTTCCAAGGCCCGCACTCGAGTTTATGAATAATTTAAAAAAAAAGAGTAGAGTAAGACAGTTTTTTTTTAAATTTGAATAAAATTTTCTGACTAAATGCCCATATTTTAACATAGTTGTCCAATGATACAATTCGATTAAGTATATGCTTCCAGTTTGAAGTTAATAAATGTAAGATAAAATCTGTTTATTAAACTACCAGAAATAACCTTTAATACGAACAGTCAGCCTGGCATATTATCAGGTGAAAAACATATATACTCACTATTTGTTCATAGAGAAATTTTTTCTTGAAAAATAAACAAATAATCATAAAAGCTTTTCAGGTGAAAAATATGAATGGTGACTATTTGTTCAATGAAAATGTTCATAAATCATCATAAATACTCTTAGGTCACTCTTATTAATATTCAAGAACATTTTTATCAATTTAATTAAAATATATTATTGAAGAGGCTTTATGAGTAGCTGGCAACAGTTTTGAATCACCACCCAGGACGATGACAGAGTTTGTGTTCGAGTGGGGTACGATTGTGATATGATTACCATCCTCCAAATCTCAAGATGCACTTAAAATTCTATCAATAAGTTGTAATTTATATGCATAATAAAATATACGAGAGGTTTGTGTGCAGATATAGGCCATCCTGTCGTTTCAATTTCCTCACATAATGCAATATATTAGACTTTTGTTTTCTATTTCTACGATTTCCTTTGTGAAGTGGCTATTTATCAACGCTATCGATGTACATTGATAAGAATTTTAAGGGGGTGGCCTATATAAAGGGAGCACCATAATTCGCAAAGGTATTGTTATTAACTATTACCGGAGTGAGTGCACCATGAAGTTATTCACGATTCTGGCTTTGGCAGCTCTTTGCCTTTGCCTCGGCCAAGTTGCCACTGGTGAAAGTGAGTGGTTGTTGCAGGTTGTCTAGAAGTCTTTAAATCAAACGATCCTCTTGATCCTGCAGAACTGATTAACTGTTACTGGGGCACCTGGGCCAACTACCGTCCCGGAGATGGCAAGTTTACCCCCTCGGACATCGATCCCTCCCTGTGCACCCACATCAGCTACACTTTCTTTGGAATCAGCGATGCCGGAGAGTTCAAGTCTCTGGATACCTGGCTGGACATGGACGACGGACTGGGTAAGAAAAATTAGCAGTGCTTGGATATCTTCTTCATAGATTTCACTTATTAAGGATAATGAAACGTTTTTTTTTTCTGTACAGGCTACATTAGCCAAACGATTGCCCTGAAGCAGCGCAACCCAAATCTGAAGATTCTAGCGGTGGTGGGTGGCTGGAACGAGGGCTCCATCAAGTACTCGGAGATGGCCGCCGATCCTGTCAAGCGTGCTACCTTCGTGTCCACCTCCTTGGCCTTTATTCAGCAGTACGGTTTCGATGGATTGGATTTGGATTGGGAGTACCCTGGTCAGCGAGGAGGCAGTGAGTCGGATCGCGAAAACTTCGTGACCCTGCTCCGTGAGATTAAGGAAACGTAAGTGGTTATAATGATGATCCTTTCGAATGGAATACATATAAATCTACGACAGCTACGACAAGTATGGATTGGAATTGGGTATTGCTGTGGGTGCCTCCGAAAAGTCGGCCAGCATCTCCTACGATATTCCGGCTATTTCCCAGCACCTGACTTTCATTAATGTGATGACCTATGACTTCCATATGGCTCTGGATGGCTACCTGGGTCTGAACGCTCCTCTGCCTGAGGTCACTGAATCCATTGACTACTGGCTATCGCACGGTGAGTTGAGGAATCTTTTGAAACCTAAGACCTAAGTACTAAACTTATGCCTATCCTTAGGTGCCCCTGCTGAGAAACTGATCTTGGGTATTGGGTTCTATGGCCACAGCTACCAGATGTCCGACAGCTCCCAGAACTGGCCCGGAGCTGCCTGCATTGGTCCCGGAACTGCTGGCATCTACACCCGGGAGAACGGTTTCCTGGGCTACCATGAGATCTGTTTGAACAACTGGAATACCGTTTTCGATGCAGAGAACGGTGCTCCTTATGCCTTCCAGGGCGATCAGTGGATTGGTTATGACAACCCCGAGAGCATCCAGATGAAGATGCAGCTGGTGGAGTCCCGCAACCTGGGTGGAGCCATGATGTGGTCAATCGAAACTGATGACTTCCGAGGCCTTTGCGGAGAGTCCTATCCCCTGTTGAAGACCATGAACCGCGCTCTGGGTAAGGATGTCAGCGGAGGAGGTAGCAGCGGAGGCGGAGGAAGTGTTACAGCAGCTCCAACTGCGGCTCCCACAACGGCCACCACTCCGACTCCCACTCCTGGTGGCGGAAGCGGTGGCAACGGAGGTGGCTCCAGCGGAGACTGCTCCTCAAATGGTTACTTCTGGCATAGCAGCAACTGCAATCAGTACTACCAGTGCGTGGATGGCACCCGTTACGATTTCCAATGCGGATCGGGACTGTACTTCGATGTAGACACCAAAATCTGCAACTACGAGTCGGAGGTTAATTGCCCCTACTAGTAAACCGCAAACGAAAATAAACGAAAAATATGCATAATCTATGGAAAAGATTGTTTTTTTCAAGGGGCCCCAGAAGAATTGTATATTAAATAATCATATAAATTTATGACTACCGGGACACCGATTAGATTAAGATTCTCATAATAATACTTACACCCAAGCTCTTAGTCACTATAAGTGGGCATAACAGAAAACACTGAGATAGGCCATGAGGCAACTGCATATTGCTTGATTCCAATATTGCAATAATGATAAAGGCAATAAAAACACGTAGACTTGTCTACAAGAAACCTTACTTGAATAGGTGAGGCAGTGTAAAGGAATGTTAAGTGCAATGTTTGCAATACCAGGGAACTGTGTACTGCAAGAAAATAATAAGATCTGAGTGTTTAATACCCTTCAAAATAAAAAATAACTTGGAAATAACCTGGAGTTCTCCAAAAGGTATATATTTTTATCATCAAGTTACCTGTTATTTTTTGGTGTAAATGTATGTTTCTTAAAGTATTTCACAAATGACTAATTTAGAATTAACACGGAAGTCAAAACACTTTTACTGGTCTGGAAACGACTTTTCTCAAAGACTACATTTTATTTTCAATTACTGACCATTTTCTTTGTTCCGCGAAAGAAATTTCAAAATTCAAGTTTAATTTGTTAGGTTCTTTTCAGCCATGGCATTTAAATGTATTTTTATGGTAATGATATTTCTGCTCTGCGAATGTTCATCAAAAGAGTGTAAGTAGATCCTTTTACTATTCCCCGGAAAGTAAGTCAATGAAGCCTGCAGATAATATCTTCTGTCAATATGATTTGGCGTCTTACTATTTCAAAGACCACAGTCAGTTCTTTGACTGGAACATAGACTCCAGACTCTGCACTCATCTGGTTATTGGTTCTGGTGTTGGTGTAGATGAAGAGACGGGTGAATTAAGGATCACTGACAAGGATCTCCTTCTGGGGAACGGTAAGTGTTCTTACATTTTTGAACAAAACTTGTATTTAAAGAATACTATCATTTTTTTTATAGATATGCCTAGCCGCGTTAAACATATGAAGAGTGACAGCATAAGGAAGGTGTTGGCCACAATCGGCGGCTGGCAGGAGGATTCTAAGCATTTCTCCAATATGGTGGCTTCCCACAAAAAGCGCGACAACTTTTACAACTCCATGTTAGAATTTGTTCATAAGTGGCGATTCGATGGCGTCCAGATCGATTGGCGCTATCCCACTCAGGGCGGTGGACAGTCTGAGGATCGGAAGAACTTTGTGCTTCTGCTGGAGGAGCTGAAATTAATGTGAGTCCCTGCAAGGGTGTTATGGGTGTCTTCTGGTGACAGATTTCCGTTCCCTTTCTATAGCTTTCGGGAGCATAAGCTTATTCTTATGGTGGCTGTACTGGGACGAACGAACAAGCGAAACCTGGAGAGCTATGACATCCCCGGGATAGTAAAGAACTCTGATTTTATCCATCTAATGATGCACGACGAACGAGATCTGTACCGTCTGCGCTTGGCTTATAATGCGCCTCTCCGAGGGAGTGGAAATGGCGTGGCCGACGCTATTAAGTTATGGAAAAGCCAAGGAAAGGCACCAGAGAAACTCATCTTAGGTATTCCCTTCTTTGTACGCTCCTACACAATGGATAATAATCAGACGGCGGTGGGATCCTTAAGCAAAGGACCCGGCAAGCAGACAAAGTCATCCCGCCGTCCCGGTTTCATGACTTACAACGAGTGGTGTGTGCAGGAGTCAAGCTGGAGCAAAAAGTTCGACAAGGTGGCCATGGTGCCCTATGCTTCAAAGGGTGATCAGTGGGTGAGCTACGAGAACCCGGGAAGCATCTGGGCCAAAATGCACATGCTGCAGCAGCACATGTTGGGCGGCGCCATGGCTTGGACCGTGGACGTGGATGACTTTCTAGGAACTTGTGGGGAGCGTCATGGGTTACTTCGAGTGATCTTTTCAGCTTTAGGTGACCAGAATGCCCTAACAACAGAAACCCCTACCACTGAGCCACTCGGACTATGCCCATTTGATGGTTTCTGGTCCAATGATTTTGATTGCAGTCTGTATCATGAGTGTCGCAATGGGGAAAGGTTTTACCACAAATGCCCTGAAGGTCAGTACTTCGATGAGATCCAGATCGACTGCCGACCTGCCGCTGAGGTCAACTGTCTGATCTCACACTACGAAAACTGGCCGCTGGACATCGAGATCGTTGAGTAGATCCCAAAATTAAAGATATTTCGAGACTTTCTGTTGGACAAATAAAGGTTAACACTTTACTGAACTGGAGTAATTGCAGCTTTTTGTGTTTAGGTCAAAGCTCAATCCACTGGGGCACTCAAAACTGTGAGTCGTGCCTCCACTGCAATAGTAGAAATTCGAGCAGTTGTCCGGATCGCGAACATATCCTTCAGGGGCATCAACGGGACAACTGAAACCTTCATTGGGCTTGTCCTTGTTCGATTCAGTGGTCAAGCCAGTTGGTGTACTGTCGCCAAAGAGCACACGGTTGATTTCGTGAAGAAGGGGGTAGGGTTGCTGGCCACAAGTGCCATGGAAGTCATCTGATTCCAGGGACCAGATCATTATACCACCTAGGTGATGGTCCATCACATACTGTGCTTTCAGCGCCAAGCTACGCGGATCCTCGTAACCCACCCACTGGCGCTCCCTGAAAGCGTAGGGTACCTGCTGCGTCGGCTCCCACCTCTTAATCCACTCCTCCTGCTGCATGAGCTCGCACAATTCGTTGTAGCCCAAGACACCAGGCTCTCGGGAGTACTTGCCGGCAATACCCTTGCCGATATGGGGGGATCCTGGAAGATTGCCTTCAGCGGTTGTCAACGTAAAGGTGCGTCCATAGAAAGGAACTCCGAGGACCAGTTTTTCTGGAGGGGCACCTGCCAAAAGCCAGTACTTAATAATAGCGTCCACGTTAAGCTGCTGCTGCCGTCCGGTTGAGTCGCTGGAATCACTTTCAGCTGCATATAGAGGGGCATTGATGCCTACCACCTTGTCCCAAGGTCCGTGCAGGTCATAGGCCATCACATTGATGAAGTCCAGATACGGAACAATGGCCGGAATGTCGTAGGATATTTCAGCGGAGAACTGGGCGGACCCCACAGCAGCACTGAGAGTAAACCCGAAGGGTTCCAGGCTAATAACGGGTTAAATTTTTTATAACAGCTTCCAGCAATCAAAAATGGCCCAATAAGCTTACCCCTCTTTTAGCTCCTTTAAAAATGTTATGTAGTTTAACCGATCCCCGTTTTCCAGACTATGACGCTGGTCGGGATACTCCCAGTCCAAATCTAGCCCGTCGAATCCATGGCGCTGCAGGAACCTTACTACGTCGTCCACAAACTTAGCACGCTTTAAGGGATCATTGGCCACGATAGAGAATCTTTTGGAACCCTCGTTCCAACCACCCACGGCCACTAGAGTCTTCAACACGGGATTCTTTAGCTTAAGGGCGTTGAAGCTCTTGATATTTCCGCGTCCACTGTTATCCTCGAGATCCAGATAAGCGTCAATAACCCTCAGGTCACCAGTCTCCTCAATGCCAAGAAATGCGTAAATCAGGTGGGTGCACAGAAAGGGATCGATATCCTCCACACCAAACTTTCCCAGACCAGGTCGATAAACAGACCAAGTACCCTGGTAGCAGACAACGTTTTCTGCAAGGGGTTTACTCTGATATTCCGCGGGATAGGCAGGTTGACAACTACTTACTTGAAACGTTGCCTAGTGCTGATGAAGAAACTGCCATCAGGATCGCCCCAAGGAGCACCCTAACTAAATCTGACCCGCTCCACATATCTTGACTAATGATATAAAATGCCCCGCAACTCCAAGACTTATATAGCACCTCGATTATTGATAAGACGGTGAAATATGTATTTGTGGTTTGTTTTTAGCAGAAAACATTGTGTTTACATACTTGTTGCTCCGGAGAGCATTGCAAACAACATGGGGCGCTTTGAGGGTCGGGTCTCCAAAATCAACGATAACACCTAGGGCTACAGGGTCTAGAACTTCTTTAGCTTGGAAAGCTGGTTGTTGCGCCGTAAAGCCAGTTTCCTCAGGCGTCGCCAGTACTGCTTCGTGTTGGGATCCAGTTCGTCTAACGGGATGATACGTTCCGTGTTTAGGGACCAAAGCCACTCGGGGTACTCTGTATCCGGTTTGATCTATTGAAAGGGGTATACAAAATAAGCTCTTTTTTGCGAATTTGGATCAATCGCTTACCTTGACATCCTCTCCAGTTTTTAGGTAGTTGCTACCACACACATAGTTTACCAGTTTGTTTGCATCCGTCTCCACAGGAATGATTTTCTTCTCCACGATGGGTCCTAGCTTGCCCAGTTTTTTTCTTCTTCCCCGCTTCGAGTTTGAGGTATCATTAGTTACTATAGTTATTTTTTTAACCTGTATTTTGTGGGTGCTCACCTGGCGCCGCCGGTTTGACGGCATAACAACGTGTGGAGTTCCCTATCGCTGGGGCTATCAATCGCTGTTTAACCATTTGGAACACCGCAGTTAAATTGCTCATATCTGCTGTGTTTTTTATTTACTCTCTTATTGTTACTTTAATTGATTATTAATTGTTAAATTTACAAAACTTGCCGTTTTGTTGTATAATCTGCTAAATGTTAATCCTACAATGCAGCCCTGGATATAAAGTATACGACCAGTCAGCTGATTTATCAAAACAAAAAACTATCGAACCTTTTCTTAAATTAAAAAATAGTAAGTGTTTCCTAATGTGATTTCAAAAACATTTATTATGGAAAAAAGTAGCCAAAATGTTTGTAACTGATGTCAGTAATTTGTTAAACAATAAAACTAGAGGTGGACTTCTGCTGACAAACAGATTTGGAAATATTTCAGATATCCTAAAGCAAAAAATATCGGACAACTGTCATCCCTAATTCGGTACCGGCAATAAAATAACGAATATTACACAAGTATCAACAAATATTTTGAATAAAAACGATAGCAAGATGGTCGGACTGAGAATGCCCTCCAACCGGACTCTGGGAAACATTTGCGTATACGGCGCAGTAGCCTCGATATCCGCCGTTATGTACATGAGATGGACGATGGAGGATCGGGTGCGATCCTGTGAGTACTACAAACTGGCGTTAAAAGCATTGCGAAGCCATCGAGGGGCCACAGCGCTTCTGGGCGAGCCCATTAAGGATTCGGGCATAGATCTATCCAACGTCAACAACAATTGCAATGCGGAGATGGCACATTTCGAGGTTTCGGTGCGCGGCAGCAAAGATAAAGGTACATATTGAAATTCTTGAAACAATAAGCGTAATCAGAAATCTTCGGCTCGCAGGAACTCTCTACTTCTGGGCCTCTAATAAGCCGGATAGGGGGTGGCTGATAGACCGACTAGAGCTGGAGACGAAACTTAATCCCGATAAGCGCTTCCTGCTGAAAAAATCAGACGAACTAACCTTCGATCTGCCCGAGAGTCTTAGTAAACTGCCTGCCCAGCAAATAGATTCTAATGTTATTTTATCCGAATCAAATATGCTAAATAACAAACAATCAGAAGTGCATTCAAAGTAACGACAATTTCCGATTCAATTAGTTTATTCTCATTAAATTTGACTAATTCAAGCAATCTTAAATGTTGTATAGTTATGTTATTTTAATTACAAATTTATTGTTTTTATAAAATCAAAGTCTTTAGTTATTGTTTGTCAATGGAGAGCTGGCAAAAACGATCAGTGGTTTAGCTTAGTTAATATTCATGCTCATTCTATGTGGTTGGTGAACAATCGGGAAAGCAGAAAATTTCAATGCGTGCTCTATAATACCACTTAATATAGACGAGAGTAGGCTGTTCTCATTTCCTGGCTCATCTAGAGCGAATATCTCGTGTTTGATTCATTTAAAATTAGAATAATACATAGATTAAGGGACATGATAAAATCCGCGTTTAATGCTCTTCTTAAACGATAAAGGCGACAATTGGTGGCGATCGTGACTCAGACGAGGCAGCAGTGCATCGATCACCGTCAGGCTAAGGTCATCCAAATGCTTGCATTTTAAATCGTCTCCGATCGAAAACGTTATGTTATGTTGTTTTGTATACGCACTTTCGTCGTTATATAACACAGTATAAATACACGCCGTATATATATATATGTAGGTATATGTTCGTATGTAAATAGTCAATTACAGACATTTTATATTGGCAGGCACCTGCCCGCTTTTCTACTCGTATTCCTGCTGCTTCGGTTTGGATGTTGTGGTGTTAATGCTGATGATCTGTTCCTATGCTCGCTTGGCCATGGCAAGTGGAAGACTGTTGGGCCGCTTCGTCGACTGTGTCCGCTCCTCTTCCGCTTGCACCTCCTGGTCTTATTGCGTCTTTAGTTCCTTGCCAATGCTGTAAGAGACGATTTTGCTCCAGTCGATCTTGGTCCTGGTGATAGGCAACTGCCGGCGCATGGCCTTGAAAGTCGTGTCTGACATTGTCTGGTAGTTCTCAGAAATAGCCAGCTGGTACTCGTTTTCGGCCTCCTCGATCAAACGAATTACCTCCTTGGCCAGTTGCTGCTCGTTGCTAACTATCACGCTCTCGCGGCACTCCTTTGAGGATACCAGCTGGACGTTTCCGTCTTCGTAATAGTGCACCTGCACCTTGAGCACGCCCTTAAGTTCGGCGGCTGCGTTGCCCGCCTGGAAGGTGACGTGCCACTGGGAGCGCCACCGGCCGTTCCAGTAGTTTTTCGGCTGAAACTGGTGGTCCTCAATGCAAATGGTCAGGGTTATCTGGTTGCCCTGGGCTTTCCCAAAGACAGAGCTGACCTGTGAGCATAATGTAAAGGTTAATAAATGAAGGCGGCAGATTTTCTTAAGCATACCCCGTGTCTATAGTGACTGGCAGTGTAGGCGAGCGTCTCCAGGTCGAGGGCAGCCCTCCAGGACTCCGCAGTGGCATCTGCCTCCACGTCCTGGTAGTCGGATGCCTCTTTCCGGAGGTGGTCATATTTAAAGGCTTGCTTTGTGCGCGGATCGTAGAAGCGACCGTTGCCTGGAATGCAAAAGCTTATCAGAAATGGGTTTACAGATACCAAGCAAAACCAAAACAATTTGCAGGTGACTCATTTGGGGTTTTGTCCATCTATGGGCATTGAATCGATACTTACCCAGATCGTTGTGCTCCGATATGATGGCATTGTGGTCGGTGCCCTCGATGCGGACCGGGGTTAGCTGGTCCTTGTTGTATTGGGCAAAGGCGTGGCTGGCCCCGTCCTTCAGCAGAGTGTCGTTCTTGAGGAGCTCCCGGACATCGTTGAACACCTCGTTAAACTCGCCGGGAGGCGCATGTAAAATGAAGTCCGACACGATGCGTACCTTCTCCGCATCGGTGATCGGGGTCTGCTCCATAGTTCCACTGGTGATTCACGAAATCGGGGCAGGGGCTGTTGTTTGGTTTGATCTGGTTTCTTTTCCGGTGCCGATGGTTTTTCCTCAAGCTTGGAGTTCTATGTGGAATACTTGGATTTTACGGTATCGCTAGAACTCTTCCTCGACCGTTTTCTTCGGCGCTGCAATCTTTTTTCTTGCAATTAATGGGCCAAGACGATGACGACTCGATTCACTTTTTTTCTTTGGCTAGGGATGGGCGATATTTGTGTACCTGTACCGCATACAATTCACACAATTTTATGGTCGGTATCCACTGCACAAAAGTCCGACACGTGAATGGCAATACTGTGAGCGGTTCGTTTAAATGCAAAAGTTAACTAACGGAAATGTAAACGAACAGAAATGTTAAAATACATCTTTCTAAAACTGGCTATATTTTAACATTTCTGCTAGTTAACATTAGTGATGTGAAAATATCGATATGTGGACTACAGATGGAGTGTCGATATCGATTGAAATCGAATGGACTGCATTGGCGCGGTCACACTATATACTGATGCAGTACGAAAAAGCATTCTAAGCGAGAAGACGTGTTCGCATAGTCTGCGGTCGAATTTAAGTTTGAAATAGGCGGGTCACTCGCGCGTCGATCGGTTTAAAATAGCCTTGCATCAGCAGCTTTATTTTAACTTGAAATCAACCCGATCAAAGAATCAAAACTACGTTTTGCGATCTTTTTGTTTAAAATTATTCGCCAAAGTGTACAAATCCCAACAAAATACCAGCGAAAAGTGCCTTTCTTAGGAATAGTTGTTGGTAACACGCATACCAACGCAGAACCCCGAAGCAAACGCACACAAATGCGCGCGCTTTGTAGTGTGCGTGTAACCACTTTTTTACCTGGTCTTACCTGTTTGCGGAGCGAAAGAGAGAAGGCAAACGAAAAGAAGGAAGAGAGTGCCAAAGCGGATAAGTGAAAGATAAAAGTGAACAAAATATCAGTTAGAGCAGCTGCACCGAAATAGAAATAAAAGACAGTTTACAATCAGGGCGCGCACTGTACGAGTTTGAATTCGATTGATAATTATTGAGCGGTTGCCATGAAAATGCATTCCAAACAAACGGCACACTGAGAAAAAAGAAACGAGTGAGGAGTGCAAATAGAAAATAAGAAGCAGAGGAATAGAGTACAATACAAACAGAGCACGTAAAAGTAAAAGGTGTGTCTGTAAGAGGACAAAATAATACTGGGTGATTCACAAAGAAGTGCTCAAAAGTGCTGCGGCTGTAAAAGAGAGTTCGAGATGGCGGATCGCCGCTAAAGAGTATGTCCACCAGTGTCCAACGATTGTCCAGAATGTCCAGCCCACACTGCATTAAAATGTCGGTGACCCAACAGATCGGCCACCTCAATCCCGCCCAGCAACAAACGCACCAGCAGCACAAACGGAAATGCCGCGACCTTGGCAGGCAACTAATCCCCACGAGACTAATTTTTGCCGTCCTTGTGGCAATCAGCTTCCTGTCGCCCGCCCTCGCACTCCATCCTCCGCCGGACAAGAATTTCTCCGGTGACAACCGCAAGCCCGCCTTCAAGAACTGCGCCGGATATGCTCCGAAGGTCAAGGAGGAGCAACCGGAGAACACCTACGTGCTTACCGTAGAGGCCGTCGACCCTGATCCCGACCAGGTTATCCGCTATAGCATCGTTCAGTCGCCGTTCGAGCGACCAAAATTCTTCATTAATCCCTCCACGGGTGTGATCTTCACCACCCACACCTTCGATCGTGACGAACCCATCCACGAGAAATTCGTCTTCGTCACCGTTCAGGCCACGGATAATGGTTTACCCCCACTGGACGACGTCTGTACCTTCAACGTGACCATCGAGGACATCAACGACAATGCTCCCGCCTTCAACAAGGCTCGCTACGACGAGTCCATGTCGGAAAATGCCCAGGTGAGTTTCTATGCCCTACTCTTTCCACCGCTGCTTGCTAAGCTCGCGGACCCTGGATTACTGCGGCTTGGCCAAGTTAGTGCGTCGGTACTAGAGTGATGTCATCCCATCAATTTTGCCCTCTCTCGTGAAGTGCCTAACTTAATTGTCTTAGAAGCTTTCGGAACATTTTGTTTTGCGTTTATTATGATGTAGAATGGGGAAATCTGTTTTAAGCTAAAGAAAAGTTAGTGTAGGAAATTAAAAAAAAAACTGCTGCTCATCAAAGGCTCATATAAATGTCTGTTTCTGCTTCACAAGAGTGCATTAAATGTAATATAGAATTGGTTCACTTTTTCCGGACTTTTCAATATAACAATTTTATTTAATAATTTATTATTCTTTAATATATATTACCTTAAAGTTTCAAAGCATTGTTGAAATATAAGGCGACATTCTTTTCTAATTACTGGCTTTTATGGGTCATTGCCACGACCACCTCCGTCCTCTGCCCACCTGGCCATTCCAATAAACTGGGACCCAAACTGTCCTGCAGTTTCTGCAGCGTTAATTAACCACTTGGCCAGTTCATGGGCGAACATCTTCTTGGGCGGAACTAGTTTTCGCTTAGCGTAGGAGGGCGACCACTTGGAGACGGGTTTTGGGTTCATTGCTCGGCCGGTTCGATACTGAAAACCTTGAAACCCTTTCCAACGCCTTTTCTTCTACGCCATTTCCATGTTTGAGACTAAAAAAACTTGTCGTCGAACCAAATAACAAAGGGCAGGCAAACAGCTTAGCAAAGCAGTGGTAGGAAAACTAAATTTAGCTGAACAGTCGTAAAAATATCCAGTAGCTTGACAGGAAAAATATACATTGCATTACAAATAAGTATTTACATAATAATTTTTAGTTAGTTAGTTTTTTATTTTAGATATATTAGTTATTTATTTAGGTATAAAAACAAAGGAATTATTTAAAAACAAACTCAATATTAATGTTTCGAGAAATAGTATTTCTAGGAAAGAATTGAATGAGAGAAAGATATAGCCTTGAATGCCTTCTTCATTCTAGCTTCCTCTTTTTCGTGCTGACAAGAAATGCTTTTATTTTTAGCAAAGCTTTCTCAGCACTGAAATTTCCGCGAATAGGTTTTAGTTCAACTTAGGCTTCGGCTCAGGTAGCATTGAAAGAAGGGAGGTCGAGGAACCTAGAACGGAGAAATGTGCTTGCTCCTTGTTTGGGCAAACTTGCAGGAAAGTTGCTTTAGCGGAAGGAAACCAGATTTTCCCCAAATACCTTTGGCTTTATCTTTGTCTTCTATTTGCAGCCCGACTCGGTGGTGATGTCTATCAGCGCCAGTGACTTCGACGATGGAAATAACAGTTTGGTCGAGTACGAGATTCTGCGGGAGCGCGACTTCCAGTATTTCAAGATCGACAAGGAGTCGGGTATTATCTATTTGAAGCGATCGATTGACAAGCCACCCGGCCAATATTATGCGATTATCGTACGGGCCTACAATGTAGTTCCAGATCCACCACAGGATGCGCAGATCGAAGTGCGCATCCGGGTAGTTGAGTCTTCAATCAAGCCGCCATCCTTCGTAAATCCCATCGACACACCCATTTACCTAAAGGAGAATCTCAAGAACTTCACACACCCAATTGCCACGTTACGGGCGGTTTCTAATATGCCGGACAAGCCGGAGGTGATCTTTGAGCTGAACACCGGCCGTACAGAGCAAACGAACAGCAAGAACACATTCGTCTTCAATCAGATCGGCAACGAGGTGACCATTAGCCTGGGAAAGACACTAGACTACGAGGCCATCACGGACTACACGCTAACCATGATTGTGCGGAACACTCACGAACTGGGCACGGAGCATCAGATAAAAATCCAGGTAGAGGATGTCAACGATAATATTCCGTACTATACGGAGGTGAAGTCAGGCACGATACTGGAGAACGAACCACCTGGTACGCCCGTGATGCAGGTGCGTGCCTTCGATATGGACGGCACGGCAGCCAATAACATTGTTTCTTTCGAGCTGGCCGACAACCGGGAGTACTTCACCATCGACCCCAACACCGGTAACATTACTGCCCTCACAACATTCGATCGCGAGGAACGTGATTTTTATAACGTGAAGGTCATTGCCAGTGACAATTCACCATCGAGCCTGTTTGACAATGGCGAGCCAAACCGTGGTCACCAGGTATTCCGTATCTCCATCGGTGACAAGAACGACCACAAGCCGCACTTCCAGCAAGATAAATATCTGGCGGAGAGACTGCTCGAGGACGCCAACACCAACACTGAGGTGATTGAGGTGAAGGCAGAGGACGAAGACAATGCCTCCCAGATACTTTACAGCATCGAGAGCGGAAACGTGGGAGACGCCTTTAAGATAGGCCTGAAGACAGGAAAAATCACGGTCAATCAGAAGCTGGACTATGAAACGATCACGGAATACGAGCTAAAAGTTCGCGCCTTCGACGGAATTTACGATGATTACACTACTGTGATTATCAAAATCGAGGATGTCAACGATAACCCACCGGCGTTTAAGCAGGATTACAGCGTCACAATTCTGGAGGAGACCATTTACGAAGACTGCATCCTCACAGTGGAGGCCTACGATCCGGACATCAAGGATCGCAACGCAGATCAGCATATTGTCTATTCGATTTACCAGAACGAGGGCAACCGCTGGTCTATTGACAACAGTGGCTGCCTCCGGTTGATCAAGACGTTAGATCGTGATCCACCCAACGGTCACAAGAATTGGCAGGTGTTGATCAAGGCAAACGACGAGGATGGTGTGGGCACCACAGTCAGCACTTTAAAGGAGGTTACTATCATTTTAAAAGACATCAACGACAACGCTCCGTTCCTGACCAACGAAATGCCCATCTACTGGCAAGAGAACCGCAATCCCGGCCATGTTGTGCAGCTCCAGGCCAATGACTACGATGATACTCCTGGAGCGGGTAACTTTACCTTCGGCATCGATAGCGAGGCTTCGCCTGATATCAAAACCAAGTTCAGCATGGATGGGGACTTTTTGCACGCCAACGTGCAGTTTGATCGGGAGGCCCAGAAGGAGTACTTCATACCCATCCGCATCAGTGACTCTGGTGTTCCTCGCCAGAGCGCGGTCAGCATCCTTCACCTGGTGATAGGCGATGTGAACGACAATGCCATGAGCGAGGGTTGGTCACGTATCTTCATCTACAATTACAAGGGAGAAGCGCCGGAAACTGACATTGGGCGAGTGTTTGTAGATGACCTCGATGACTGGGATCTGGAGGATAAGTATTTCGAATGGAAGGACCTTCCTCATGACCAATTCCGGCTTAATCCCAGTACGGGAATGATCACCATGCTTAGTCACACCGCTGAGGGAGAGTACGACCTTTCGTTCCTTGTGACCGAAGATTCAGTTTTCGTGCCTCGTCACTCCGTGGATGCTTATGTCACTGTGGTGGTCCGAGAGCTGCCCGAGGAGGCGGTGGACAAGAGCGGCAGCATCAGATTCATCAACGTTACCAAGGAAGAGTTTATCAGTGTACCGCGCGATGTAATGTCACCGGAAGCTCTCTCCCCTAAGGATCGTCTGCAGCTCGCCCTGTCCAAGCTGTTTAATACCTCCGTGAACAACGTGGACGTGTTCACAGTGCTGCAGAACGAAAACCGTACCCTTGACGTCCGCTTCTCAGCCCACGGCTCACCTTACTATGCTCCGGAGAAGCTCAACGGAATAGTGGCCCAAAACCAACAGCGATTGGAGAACGAACTCGATCTCCAGATGCTAATGGTGAATATCGACGAGTGTCTGGTGGAGCGGTTCAAGTGCGAGGACTCGTGCACCAATGAGCTGCACAAGAGCTCGGTACCGTATATGATCTACTCGAACACAACCTCATTCGTTGGCGTGAACGCCTTCGTACAGGCTCAGTGCGTGTGCGAGGCTCCCTTAATAAGACGCTGCCTGAACGGAGGATCTCCGAAGCCCGGGGAGAACGATGCATGCGACTGCATAGACGGATTCACCGGACCCCACTGTGAACTCGTATCCGTGGCCTTCTATGGCTCTGGCTATGCCTTCTACGAACCCATTGCAGCCTGCAAAAACACAAAAATAAGCTTGGAGATCACGCCCCAAATCGACCAGGGCCTGATCATGTACCTTGGACCCCTGAATTTCAACCCACTGCTGGCAATCTCGGATTTCCTAGCCCTGGAGCTGGATAATGGCTACCCAGTGCTGACTGTGGACTACGGATCGGGTGCCATTCGCATCAGGCATCACCACATCAAGATGGTTTCAGACCGCACTTATCAACTGGACATTATTCTGCAAAGCAAGAATATCGAGATGACAGTAGACAACTGCCGCCTATCCACCTGCCAGACCCTTGGCGCGCCAATCGGCCCCAATGAGTTCTTGAACGTGAACGCCCCGCTCCAGCTAGGCGGCACTCCGGTTGATTTGGAGCAACTGGGACGCCAGTTCAATTGGACGCACGTTCCAACCCAGAAGGGATTTTTCGGATGCATTCGCAACTTGACGATCAACGAGCAAACGTACAACCTGGGTATGCCCTCCGTGTTCCGAAACATCGACAGCGGCTGCCAACAGTCTGTGGCCGTGGCGTTTAGTTTCGGTATCGATCGGAACTTTATCATCGCAATAATCGTCTGTCTGGCACTACTGCTGATCATCCTTCTGGCCGTGGTGGTGCAGAAGAAGCAAAAGAACGGTTGGCACGAGAAGGATATTGATGACATCCGTGAAACGATCATCAATTATGAGGACGAGGGTGGCGGCGAACGGGACACAGACTACGACCTAAATGTCCTGCGTAGCCAGCCCTTCTTCGAGGAAAAGATCTACAAGGATCCGCACACATTACAAGGCGGCATTCGTGATCCCAACGAAATACCTGACATCGCCGACTTCCTGGGCGACAAAAAGGAGAACTGCGACCGGGACGTGGGCGCCACCACCGTGGACGATGTCCGACACTATGCGTACGAGGGTGATGGCAATTCCGACGGCAGCCTGTCCAGCCTGGCGTCCTGCACCGACGACGGCGATCTCAACTTCGACTACCTGTCCAACTTTGGACCGCGCTTCCGCAAACTGGCCGATATGTACGGCGAGGAGCCCTCAGACACAGACTCCAACGTGGACGACGACCAGGGCTGGCGCATCTAGAAATCTTCGCCAGCCGCGGTATAATAACGTAGAAATTGAAAAGACTTTTTATATACTAAGAGTTGTACGGATGTTGATAGTGTCGGGACAAGGAGCCGGCCTAGCCGGCCCCATAGTCGATTCATATATATGGGTAAACTATATATTATATATATATATATACATATATTTTTATGGAGGAGTATTGCAAGGGCCACGGGAGGGGGGAACACGTTTTTGTTTTTTGTTTTGTAAATGCAAAAAGTGATCTTGATCTTACGTAAACGAACTAACTATTTAAACTAAAGCTAACACTAATATAGCCAAGCAACTGCGAACAAACCACAAATTTCAGCAGAATTGTTATAGCTTCGATTCCACATATTTAAGGAAACTCAAATAGGGTAGAAATAAAATCGAAAAATATATAATTTATATGTCCAAAAACCGAAATATTCCTAAAAAAGCGAATACAATATGCATTTTTCATTGCATAGGCGTAATGCCAACACTAGATTATTTAAGAACTTCATTAGTTGATTAAGCAATTCTGAACATATTATGATGAATATATCGCGTTGGGGCCTCGACAAGGCAGATCTTCAATTAGAATTCGAAATAAATCCGAACATATTTAACACAAATTCGAGGGAGGGGAACTAAATTTATCAAGTCGGTATTTCTAAGTTTGATTTAGGAAAACCCTAACCCTATCAATATCATAAGTTTTTAGGGTTGTCTTCTAGTAAATGTATAAATCAGTATAAGCTAATTTAAACTTATCGAATGGAGCGTATTACCCTTGATAAATAAAAGGATATATAATATATATAAATACAGAGACATATGTGTAAGTAAAAATGTTTAATAAATCATTGCGATATGTATTTTTGTAAGTCTTTTCCCGTATTTGCTGAGCAGTAAGCCGGCATTTTTTAAATGCTAAGGCGACCCAATAATAGAAAAGTTGAGAGACTTTATTTATATATAGTTATATATATTAAATAATTGTGTAGTTTACAAAAAACGAAAGAGCCAAACACAAAAAGTGTTAAAATAAAAAATATAATAAAACTGAATGTACTTTTGTGTTGATCATTTGACAAGCCGCAGATAAGCCTTGTGTTCGATTGGAGGTGCCGCATGTAGACGCAGACATCTCTGACAGCTAGCTAGCCCCATTCTCTGGACTTTATTGGAAATAATGAAAATGTACACAAGTGCTTAGGCTAGCTAGCTAGCTATGCTTGCTCGCCGCCAGACGAACATAAATATATGTGCCTGTGAGTATATAGACATTTATATAAATGGTAAGTCATTGACTGAGGCGTCGGCGAGGGCTACTGTTAGCTGTAACCGGAGGAAAAGCGTCATTATCTTATCAGCGAAAAGTAGGTTACGCTTGCCTTTGGATTCGTTCGGTTTCAACAAAATCGATTGCGGCACCAGTAAATGAACAAAATTGGAGCGGTTCGATGGGTAAAGCGCGCACTAAGCGGGAAAGAAAATGTGTATTCGTTGCAGCAGGTGCTGTCTTATTCTCTGCAGCTGCATTCGAATCTATGGCCACTGCCGCAGAGAACTTCATTAAGATTTGCATGGCTGATATGTCAGGGCATCCAAGGGTATCTCTTAGATATGTCTTTGGGCCAGATGAATGTGTTGCAGCTGCTCTCTGGATGTCCCTTCGAGATGAGGATTAATGGTCTAGCCAGAGAGCTTTTCATACTTGCAACAAAAATAAATCAAAAACTACTTTTTAAGCACAAAAGATTTAAAATTGTATTTCAGGGAAATTAAATTTCAATTGACCCTTCAAACATATCAATTATTTGAAAGCCAAAAATGAAACTTGAAGCGGCCTTCAAGTGTCTTTCTCTTTAAAACATTCGTAGAGATCAACATGTATAGATGTCAAGGGTCCATCAAACATTCAAATTTCAGATCAATTATATACATCCTCATGTTTTAAAGCACTCTGAAAAACGAAAAATTTCTTGGTATCAAAATGTGTACTTTGCGGAAATGCCCGACAGAAAAAATCGATCTGCCGACGACAGATGTCTTTTCAATTTTCGTCTTACGGCTTGAAATTCCAGCAAAAAAAAACAGCCAAACTGAAAATTTGTGCCGGACATGCCGACGTGAGGTTTCACCGGCAACATGTGGCTCTTGGCCGAAACATAAAGATCCAGGTGAGGAGCAGAGAACAGGCAAAAATCGGCAAGAAAAATGCTTGAGTAATCAAATAACCTCTTCTGGCTACCTGCGCAGCTGCAGCTGCCAACGCACTCTTCAGGTGTGTATGGGCCCGATTCTATGGCATGGCAAGGCCCGGCATAGCCCCTGGGATGTTTGGCCAGTGGATTAACATAGCAGAGAGGTGGAATCGAAATCCCAGGAAGGTGAAGAGGCAGGAGGCAGGGCTCAAAAGAACCCAAGCAAAGATGAGAGAGAAAAGACTCGGCTACCTGGGCTTACCTCACTAACACACCGACGCTCAGGCGCGTATTCAGATACAGATACAGGTACTCAGATAACTCACCTTGACGCCAACGCCAGCTGTACTGAGATACTCAGATACTCACCCATACCCTGGCAAATTTTAACGGAAAAATGAAAGCAAATCTTTGTAACCAACTTGGCTTGAGGAAAAACCAGTATTTCCGAAACGACTCCGATCGAGGTGTGTATCTGTTGGATAGAAGTCTCTCCATGGACTCCTCTCTTTGCAGCTTTGCCTGAGCTCAGGTCGTGGAGTCTCTCTTTGAGTTCAAGTTCCATTGCCCCAGCCTTCAAACATCTTCACGAGTCCAACTCGAGCTGGGGGTTAGGACTGTTCTTTAGATACATAATTACCAAGTGACCCAATGGTTCGTTCGACACATTACTTTGTTGTTAATTTTAAGCGACTAGATTTTAATATTTATTTGATGTTTTCATTTGACTAACTCGATAATTGTTTTATTGCTGCCTTTTAAATATTTAAAATTTCAAAATAAACGTTTTACAAAAATCAAATCAACTTATATTATTAGCATAAAGTCATGGTAATCATTACTCCATGGTGCAGATTTTTGAGAGACTTTCGTACTCAAACCATTCCGCTCCAAGCTTCAAATCTCAATTCCCGCTCTTTCTGTCACGCACGAATCGAACAACTCCCGCGTCGTTCTGCAGAAACAGAAAAAGATACAGATAAATATACTTGCTTGCGCATCTGCAGATGGTTACTTATTGATGGGGCACGTCTTGGCGTTTTACTACCTGTTGATGGGGAATTTGCTGCGGCCAAGGTCTCGCTTTGATTAATTACGGTGGAACGGAGTGGATAGGAGACGAGCCGAATGTCCACGGATGAACAGTCGATGGCAAGGCTGCCAAGATGCCTATTAACACTCGCTGACTATTCATCACAGTTTCAATTACCCGACTGACTGACCAGACAGACTGACTATATTGATTTGAATTATTGGAGAGGGCATCCCCTTAAACACTAATATTATGGCCAGTTCATTACACTCTGAATGTGATTGTATGTAAGTAAGAATATTTAGTACTCTGGTAGGCCATACATAGATCGTTTCTGTCAAAGAGGAATTTTCATTTGTTTCATTGCTTGTCAGTGTTAGTTCTTATCGAAAACTGTTAAAAGAATGAAAGTCCCAAGAAAAGAAAAATGCTCAAAAGTATGAGAAACATTTAATATTAAATGATCGCCCGTATAAACAATGCCATTTGCTAACTCTAAAGTCTAGACATAAAAGATTCTTGATGTACCAAACTCCTCCTTTTTCCGTTTTGCTGATCCTGGCAAAGGGTTTTCCTCAGGGAAATGAAACTCCAGATTTCAGATGATATGTGTTTTTGCAAATTAATTCCTCCCTTCATCCGGCGGCCAACACTTTCCCTTGACCTAAGCTGTTCGGGAGTTTGACCAATTCCAGTCGGGACTGCTGCTCTGGCTGTTCTCCTCCAATGAGCACGCACTCTCAGACCTCATGGGAAAATGCAGCGTTTGGATATGGGCGGAATATGCACTTATGCACTTACATGATATATGGCGACCGCAAACGGTTTCCCTTGGCCATCTTATCACCATGACGCCTTCTACGGCACTAATAACTCTATGAAGTCGGTACGTGGCTTCTGTGCTAAAACGCTTATTAGTTGACCGCCGATCCCTCCGTCCAGTCGGAATCGGAATGCATAATGATGAGGCTGCCGCTCATAAAGGGAAATTTTCTAAAAGAAGACGATAAAGTGCTGACCATCGGGACGTGCCCGTTTGCAGTCGATTCTTGGCGATCATCGATGCCCGGCACGTCCGCGAGGTCTGATTTGTGGCGATCAGCAGGGATAGCCAACACACTCGTGGCAGAAATAACAGGCCAGGGATTAGAGGCAAGGTAGCCACCAAAAGGCGATTCTCGGAATGCAGAAAAATAACAGCAAACAAGGTGAGCAAATTCACACTCTACCACAGACTCATACCGATTCTTTTTACTTCGCATTTGGGTCTCTTTGCAGGTGCTTTGTTTCCATTACCCATGCCAACGCTCAAACTGAAAGCCGAAACGCTTTGGAGAAATATTGCAATCACAGCAGAAAATATGGTCTTAAACTAGTTTCGCCACGTTTTCGCTGAAATTGAGACCAGCACTTGACTTGACACTAACGCTGGCCAAACAGTCTAAACAAAAACAGAAATGAGCCAAACCCAAAAACCAAATAACTTTAAACTTGAGCATCAGCAAGAAAGAAGAGAAGAAAGTTTGGGTTTGAAAAAGGAATTGGTGGGCAAGTCGAAAAACAAAGAAGTTCAAGGATACCCTCACCCATCTCAAACATTTAATTTAATTTCAGCAAAAACTCATAACTGATTCAGTCCCCCTTACTTTTATGTCCGTCATATACTTTGCCACCTATCATTTCTGGCCAATCTAATCGATTGATTTTCAGCTAGAAGGCCCACGAAATCGAACATATTGTTCATGGCAAACACATTCATTAGGCATGACATAATATTTGATGAAAACAAAAACGGAAATACGCAGACGTAGACCAACTGGAAAGATCTCGGGTGTGAAGCCTGTTTATAAAATGGGAAACATATTGCAGTTTACTACCGAAAACCAAATCACGAGTCCCAAAATGCTGCTGGACTAAAGGAGCGGTGTGTCGGAAAGTATGACTAAAATATATTTTACCGCAGAAGGGTGGCATGGCGGTGGTGGTTGTGCGCTGGAATAATATACTCCCAGGCAAAGAAAGCAAAAACTACCAAACAAAACAAAGGGCAAAACTCGAATGGGGGACAGTGACAACAATAAAATTAAAATGAAACTTCGCTGGAAACCCTACAAGTGAAATATGACCCTAATACAACTGCCCGTTGTCGGCGGGGGAACAATCAACCCTCTCCTCCGCCAAAATCCAGAGCAGGAATACTACAAAGTGGGTCTCCAAACTCCGATCGGAACTGCAGAGAGACAGACCAAGAACAACCCCCAGACCGATGACAAAGGTGGATTGTTCAGTGCCCAATGACAACTGCATGCTCGAGTTCGTGGATTGCTCGGGTTGCTCGATCCCAATATAATGATAAGCCCTAACCACCGAATGAAATATGGTCTCTGCTCAACTGGAATGCATTCACTTTGTTCAGTTCGACATTCCAGCGGAGCGGGTTAGCGGGTTGGAGGAATCCATCTAGTCTTGTTTGCAGATTGCACGATGTATGCATTAGATAGTGCTAGATATCTTCTTTTTTGTGTGTTCCCGACAATCGTTTGATAAATTGCGCTCTCAGATAGAGGTCTTCCTCAGATCTCTTTGAGCATAAATATTTATTTACAACAAATTTGCTAACAATGCAGAAATGTCTCCGTCTCCGATGATCAACTGAAAAGCACGTCCAAAACAGACAAAAGAAATTGGATATGGCTAAGCTCTCCAAAAGGTTTTCTTGAAAACCTCTTGATACGAGTATACATAAATGTGCGCTTTCATTATAATAATAAATTATATAATATTCAAGGAATATTTAATGTTTATGTGTACTGCATTTTATTATTTCCTCTTAACATTAAAAAAATAGAAAATAAACCTCCTAAGTCTCGTTTGTTTGTACCTTTTAGTACCAAGAGGCATGTTTAGGTATAACAACTGAAAATAAAATGCGCGATTCGACCAGCAGCCATGGGGAATTGGAGCAACAAGCTGCTGGTGGCGATGGCGGGTCAGGCCAAGCCAACCTAAAGCCAAAGCCAGAGACAAAAAAACAGAAACAATGCTAAAAACAGCGGCAGCAGCCAGTCGACATTACCAATAAATCGACCGAAAAAGCCACGGCGAAGAAGGCATTGACACAAAAGTTTCGGTTTACGGGCAAAAGGTGACGAGTGCCGAGTGCCTGGTCGAGTTGGGTTGAGTTGAGTGTCTTGCGGTTAAGGAAATGCAGGCCCAAAAGTGCAGCTCGTAGAAAGTGCAGCCACGACCCAGTTCGGAGGTTGGGGGCGAGATACCTTGTGGAAAATCCACTCCGAAACGGTATTAGTTGGGCAATTCGGTAACTCGATAGGGAAATGGGACCGCAGTTGGAAGCCTGCCAGCTAAGCGGCTTAATAAAGAAATCGGAATCGGTCGAGCCCATGTATATTGGGGCTATAACTCATTTTCCATATCCAAAAAGCGGATATTTCAATTGCCCAAAAACCCGGACCACACATGGTGAGAACCATCACTGGTCAAACACAATAAGTGCCTGCCCTAATGCACAGGGACTTACTTCCCTAGCAGATCATAAAAAACCACTTCGAGGCAAACAACCGAACAAAAGGGCGATAGATGGCATAACAGCTCCGTAAGATGATAGCCGAGTGGTCTTCGCCCGGAATCTTTGTCATTGCTGGGTAACATCATAAGATCTGAGGAGAGGAAGGCATTTGACAAATTAGTCCGTCATTTGGGAATTTCAAATGCAATGGGGGGCTATAGATGGGTTCCCCGTATTACCTTGCAAGTGCACCGCCATATCGCAGGCACCTTTCGAACTTTAAGCCACCCAACAGCACAAATTGCTTTTACAGCTCGCTTTCGTAAGCTTCTCAATTGTTTTATGTGGCCCGTCAACGCTGTTGCTGCTGGCTCAACTGATGTTGCTGTCGCTGTTGCTGCTGTCGATGATTTTGCTGTTGCACCTTGTGTTGACGATGATGACGTTGGAACGACTAGGTTAAACGCTGAATATTATTAATTGGATTTTACGCAACTTAAGCAATGAGTGCAGTGCGTAAGGGTTCTGTCAAACGCATACAATGTTAGGAAGCTACATTGGTTGGTTGTGTGAAAGCTACAAAAGTTGGGTCTTTAAACTAAACAAATACCTCCGTGTTGTTTTTAAAACCCTCCTTCTGTTTCTTTAAGTGTACTAAGCCAAAACGCTTATACTAGAAGATTTGAACCATGTCGGAGTTGGGAAAACTTCAAGGGTGCAAGTGAGGCAATCCGCATGTTGTTCATTGTTACCGCTTTTCATTTATGCCAATAGACCGCTTTGCATTCTCACCTTTTTGCGCTGCTGGGTGTTTCTGCGTAAATTGCATTTTACGCAGCACCAGCGCTAAGAACGAGGTCATTTGGCCGCTCTCGGATTACCTCAAAGTGCAATTGTCTATGGAAAATATGGTCTACAGTAGCTGTCCGGGCTTTTCAAGTCCGCCGGTGGTATGATGATCACGATGGTCTTTGGTTATTTTGAGGCGAGGAACGTGCCGTCACAAAAAGCCGAAGTTAGTGAGCGGCAGCTTCAAAGCGATGGCCAAACCTGGCAGGGCTGACACTGCATTTCCGGTGGCTCTGACCAATGGGTTGCCCACCTCCACATCCATTTCCATTTACATTTCCACGCATTAGGTGCTTCCGTGACGCAGGCGCATTGTTGGACTAATTTCAATTACCTCAAACGGCATTTAAGCAAATTAGAAACTTTTGTGACCGCAGATCATTTCTCCAGGGGGCCCTCTATTGAACCGGAAACTCAAAACTGATGCCCAAACGACGGGACAATCCAAACAAAAGCCACAGAACGCTGTTCATGGGAGTGCGTTCTGTTAAAACAAATGAAGCGCGAAATTCAAACAAAACAAATGCTCGAAGTGGAATTTCGAGGAAAACACAAACATTTGAAAATGTTAAGTAAATTCCTTACAGTAGGGATTGCTTAGCAGGTACTAGATACTGCGAAAATAAGCGGAAAAGCATGTCTTTTTCTCAATACCTTAGGTATGATGTTCAAAAAAGTAATAGAAATTTGCTTTAATATTATTTTGAATGAATTATACTTTCAGAATACACAACGTTTCTATATCTTCTCAGTAGTCCCTAGATATTTTGCATTTTCATTGATCTGTATACCATTCTCTTGAGAGTAAACACGAAATTTTTAGAAATTCCCCAAAGCAAAGTTCTATTTCTTGATCAATTATTTGCCCATAATGAGAATTCTCTCTAACGTAAACAAAAACGCCGGTTGTTTTTTCCACTTAGTTGCCTTGCAAAATCTCCCATTAAATGAACAGAAATGAAGCGTATCCCTCGGTGAGAAAAATAGAAGCTATTTTTCGAACGCCCCTGCAACGATTGTTTATGCTATCCGAAAGGTGCCCACATATGGTTGTAATTAGTTGGGATTCTCTGGTCAGCGGCCACATGGTGAATAATATCACATTTTATTAGATACTTGCTACTTGTTCCAACTTTTTGTTATGCAAATCAAGTAGGTATATACATCTACCTTTGTGTGTTGGAAAATTAACATAATATCGCTGTTAAAGTGTACTGTATGTGTACTTGGTGGGTGTGCCGGCGTCATTGACAGGCAGAAAACAGAAAGAAACTATTTTTGTGGTATGGAAAGTATAGCCGAAAAAGGTCAATTACGCGACTTCCTACGGCGCAGCTCGGTGGCTCATTGCCACTTTCCCAGGCCCGGGGAAAGAACCCATCGGAGCGAAGCGACCCCATCCTCACGCGACTCCGTTTTACACAGTCGAATGCACTTGCAAGTTGGTAACAAATTATATTTTTCACAATCCACTTTTCGGGCCAAAGTCAACGCGGGGGTTACTGCGAGCCGAGAGCTCTGTCATTATCGTGATAAACAACG